ATAACTTGCACTCCCTCCCTCGTTTCTCCCCCACCCCTTCCCCCTTCTCTTGTGCTTCCCCTAATGTCCACGAGGGAAAGGTCGAGAGAGAGAGAGAGAGAAGAGAGAGAGAGAGAGAGAGAGAGAGAGAGGAGAGAGAGAGAGAGAGAGAGAGAGAGAGAGAGAGAGAGAAGTGAATTTTGCAAGTGGGCGAGGAGGAAGGGGGGAGAGGAGGAGGAGGAGGGAGGAGGAGGGAGGGAGGGAGGGAGGGAGGGAGGGAGGGAGGAGGGAGGAGGGAGGGAGGGAGGAGGGAGGAGGGAGGGAGGGAGGGAGGGAGGGAGGGAGGGGGTGGTGGTGGTAGCGTGCAGGGGTCAAGGTTGGATTGGGGGGGGGGGGCTTTTCTTAGGCTGAAAATTGGTGGGTTTGAGGTGGACGGCGGGATAGAACACACACGCACACGCACACACACGCACACACACACGCACACACACACGCACACACACGCGCACACACACGCGGGCCACGCACACGCACCACACACACACACACACACACCACACACACACACACACACACACACACACGCACACAGCACACGCACACGCACACGCACACGCACACGCACACGCACACGCACGCACACACACACACACACACACACACACACACACACACACACACACGCACACACACACGCACACACACACACACACACACACACACACACACACACACACACACACACACACACACACACACACACACAGCGAAGCGGGTAGGCAAGAGCAGCAGCCACATCATGGCACTCCGTACCTTCTGTCGCTCCTGGGAACGCGAGGTGCCTCCGAGGACCAAAACCAATGCCCTTTCGCCCATTCTTGCCGACACGTGGCACTGTAGGAACCAGCACGTGGCACCCTATCCCATACCACCCACCCCACCCCCTCCTCGCCAGGCTTTAAAATCCGTCTCATTTCACCCCCTCGGGCCTAGCTGCTTTGGCACGTGTTCGTTGGCACCCCTCTCCTCCCCCTTCACCCCCTCCCCCCCCCCCCCTCTCCCTGTCATGCATGCGGGAGTGCTTGGGTCTACTTTTAAGTCACGATGACGCGCAGATCCCTGTCAGCGTGGGCACTCGCCCTGGCACCGCCATGTGTCCGAGTGTACGATGTTGGCACCGGCAGCAGCCCGCAGTGCCGCGACTTGGTGTACCCTGCATTTTCCCCCGCCCCCCCCCACCTCTCCCTACTTGGTGTACCCTGCACCCCACCCCCCCTTCCCCCTGGCCGTTGGAAGGGCCTTAGCGTGCGTGACTGCAGTGTCTAGGGGTGGGGGTGGGGGGCTCATTCACATTCTGGACTGACAGGCACACGCGGCCCGGCACCCACGCGCTCCACGCACGCGCACGCACGCTTGTAAGTGTGGCAGCACGAAACAGGGTCGGAGGGAGAGGGAACACGAAAGAAGGAAAGACAAGAGAGAGAGAGAGAGAGAGAGAGAGAGAGGGGGAGGGTGAGGGAGAGAACGAGAACGAGAACAAGAACAAGAGAACAAGAACAAGAGGGTAGGGAGAAGTAGGAGAGAGAGGGAGAGGAAGGAAGAGAATGAGGGGGTTAAGAAGAATGAGAACTAAAGAGAAAGAGACGAGGGAAATTGCGTTCGCACACCATTTCATCGGCTAATGAAGCGAGTGCGAGGCAATTCCGCTGAAGAGATAAAACCCAATTTCCGGACGAGACGCGAGACGAGGCAGGAGCGGGGGGGGGGCGAGTCACGGAAATTCGCGGATGAGTCAGTCTTCTCGGTGAGTCTTCGTGAGTAGCGGGAACGGTGCATCACCCCCGTGCGCCGAAGTCAGAATGCGCCAATTAAAGCAAGTTGGGGATTTGGATTTGTGGGGGGTTACCCTCTGTCTCCCTTTGTTGCCAAGCCGGGGGCGGCTCCGTTCCCGCTTACTCATCGTCGTGGGTGCGGGCGTCTGTGCCGTGCGAGAGTGACGTCCTGATGGGCGTTGACCTCCGCGGCGGGAAGCAGCGAAGGTCATGGCACTGTCCTCGCGGGCGTCCGCCGGGCGGAGGACGGGCCCCCCGAGCGACGCCGACACCTGTAGGTGTGGTCGGCAGGTGAGCCAAGCGACAGCTGGCGCGCGGGACGCTGTCGCGCCTCGCCGCTCCCTGGAGCTCTCTTCGCGAAGGGACGGGATCAGCATTTGCAGTGGCAGAGCGCGCGGGAGGGGCTCAAAGGCCAGGATGGAAGCGGACCGTCTAGAAAGCACATAGACCTGTCAATTGGAGGCGAAGGGCCGCTTCGCCGGTCCGTCTGTGGCAGTGCGTGCAGCCAGTGCGACCCCAAGAGGCAGCCCGCATGCGGAGCCAGAGCCACGGGGGACCAAGGACCAGGAGCCCAAAGCCCGCATTGTGTCGAGTGCGAGGCCCCGGCGCTGGCGATGTGGCCACGACATATCGACCTCCGGTGCGTGGGCGGAGGAGCAGCGGCCGGACCCAGCTGGACTCGTGCCTTTCGCGTGGCGGGCGCCGCTCGGGACTCCGGCCGGGGCAGGAGAGGAGGCGCAGGAGAAAGGGCCTTTATGGAGCCACAATGGAGGACTTTGTGAAAGAGGCGTTTCCATCGCTCAACGCTGCCTCCTTCACCCCACCCCTCCCCCTCCCGAGGCCGTGGCACCCGTGTTGATTCATTCTCAGCAACAAAACAACTTGCCCCCCGGGTACCTCCCTCTCGGCACCTCCCTTCAAAACGCGGTTGCCAAAGAGGGACTCCCGCTCGACACGGCTCCAAAAGTTCATTCATGTACACTTTGCATCCACGAACATATATCAACACGTGTTTGTTGATACTGTCCCAAGGTTGTACACACACGGAGCCGGCCCTTGTTCTCGCCTCTGCAGCTTGCGTCTGCTTCACAGCCTACCTACGTCTGTACCGTACCCCTTCCCCCCTTCCTCGTCCATGTCTATGACTGACTACCTCCCTTCTCCCTTCACGCCCCCCCTTCCTTCTCCTCCTCATCATCAATCATTTCCCACCAATTCCCCCTTCCGCTTTCCAACACTCCCTTATGTACGGGGTCTACCAGGAAGCTCCGCGGTACATGCTCAGTACGAGAGAGAAGAGAAGAGAGGAGAGAGAGGGAGAGGGAGAGGGAGAGGGAAGAGGAAGAGAGAGGAAGGGGGGGGAGAAAGAGAGACAGGAAGAGAAAGGGAGGGAGGGGGAAGAGGTGAGGTGGAAAGAGAGAGAGGGAGGGGAAAGAGGGAAGGGTGGAAAGAGAGAGGGAGGGGGGGAGGGAGTGAAGAGAGAAGGGAGGGGAGGGAGAGAAAGAGAGGAGGGAGGGGGGAAAGAGAGAGAGGGAGAGGAGGAGGAGAAAGAGAGGAGAGGGAGGGAGGGATTCTAGAGCCCAACCTAAACTGCGTAATATCCTAGTTTCTGTGAGGCAAACGGCCTTCTCCAGCAGGTTTTTGTCATGAGGCAAGACAGGGGCGGGAGGGCGTGCATGGCCTAGGAATCGAGAGATTATGGATACAGTGTGTGTGTGAAAGAGAATGAGGGAGTTTGAGTATGAGTGCGAGTGAGTGTTTGGGAATGTGAGTGTGAGTGTGTGTTGTGAATGTGAGTGTGTGTGTGTTTGGGATGTGAGTATGAGTGAGTGAGTGTTTGTGAATGTGAGTATGAGTGCGAGTGAGTGTTTGGGAATGTGAAGTGTGAGTGTGTGTTTGTGATGTGATGAATGTGAGTGAGTGAGTGAGTGTTGTGAATGTGAGCTGAGTGTGAGTGAGTGTGTGTGTGAATGTGAGTGAGTGTGTGATGTGATGAGTGAATGTGAGTGTGAGTGAGTGAGTGTTTGTGAATGTGAGTGTGAGTGAGTGTTTGTGAATGAGTGTGAGTGAGTGTTTGTGAATGTGAGTGTGAGTGAGTGCTTGAGTGAGTGCTTGTGAATGTGAGTGTGAGTGAGTGCTTGTGAATGTGAGTGTGAGTGAGTGCTGTGAGTGAGTGAGTGAGTGCTGTGTGAGTGTGAGTGAGTGAGTGCTTGTGAATGTGAGTGTGAGTGAGTGCTTATGAGTGTGAGTGAGTGAGTGAGAAACATGAACAGGAGGCTGTCACTAAGCCTACGTGGAGGTATCCAGATGACCTTAGGCGTAGGCCTATCCTACGGGAGCGAAATGGTTTGATTTCTTCCTTTCTTTTGGGTACGTTCAGATCCAGATCCAGATCCATGTAGTTTCTCGGCCAATGATCCGTTGGACACAGGCTCTCATTTCTACGCATTCCTCGTCCCCGAAATAAGTCACATTCTCACAACTTTTTTTTGTATAAACTCGACCAATCGGTAGGAATCGCGTGTCGGTGAATATCTTTTTTATTGTAATGATTTATCGAGATGTTTTTTTTCTTCTTCCCACTCGGCAGTTTATTTGAAGCTCTCCAAGGTAACGTTTACATCGTTGTTAACACCCCCCCCCTCTCTCTTCTCTCCCCTTCCACCATCCCTCTATCCCTCCCCAGGTCCTTCCACTCCCCCTCCCTCCCTCCCCCCCATACACAGAACGGCATTTTCCTTCCCCGGCCTTCCATTGCGTCTCCTCCGGGTCTTGGCTTAGCTTCTAGTATATTCCATACCGCCGACGCGCTCTCTCTCGCACGCACGCACGAACGAACGAACACACGCGCGCGCGCACACACACGCACGCATGCACAGCTCCTC